TGTGGAAACATCATTGTATAACGAGTTTTATGCTATCAAACGAAATGATAAGGATTGAAAATCAAATACAGAAGCAATGGAAAGAATCCTGCGACAATTAGAAGCGATAGGTGAGAATTTGGAACATTCGTGTCTTAAAATAATTATTGAAAGCGGGTTACCATCATGGGTCCTAGATAAGGTTTATCAACAAGATAGAAAAAAACTTGGACTGTCAACAACCTTAGACAATTCCTTATGGAATTAGTCCAAAGAAATAATGAAGCTAATAGGAGTCGAACCTTCAATAAGGAATCTGAACCAAAACGAATCTCGTATAATACAAAGAGAAACATTCGCTTTATTTATAACTTAACAGTCTAAATTACCTAACACAAAGAGTACGAAGTTAGTCACTAAATTAGAGAAAGCTAATCAAAGTAGAAGACTATGCTTATTTCGCAATAAAAATCATTGGGATAATGAATGTTTAAATTATCCATTTTTAGAAAATGTTAACCAATATTAAAACAAGCTAAATACGAGCACTGTGAAACCATTGGTGTACGAATGGCACTGAATGAACAATTTACAACTTGTTTCGCATTTCCTGCGAGAGCAATATCACAGTTTTTTACCTATTTGATTATTTACCCAATTGTGTACCTGACATAATCAAAAATATATCGTTCGATTAGTAAATTCGCCATCTGTCGTTTTTACTTTTTTCAACCAGTAAAACGTAGTATTTTCAGTCAATTATTTACTAATTAACCAATAGAAAAAATTATTTGAACGTCCTCATTCATCGACCCACCAGCCTGACTGGTATTGCCAACTACTTAGCTTCAATAAAAAAAGTAGATTATTTACTTATTAACCATATTAAAATTTGTTCTATCACTCAAAAATTTCAACAAAGCATTTCAACAAATGTAAGTACGAACTTCACCAACATGTCACATGTTTACAAATCACAAACAGACAGTAATAACAATACTACTGCACAACATTTAGCGATAATTTACAAAAGTTTTCGAAATTTTTTTCCTTTAAAATCATTTTCGTCTCAAAATAACCCATACATCCAGTAACATCACAAATATCCTAACTTACAAGAAAATTTGGAAATCTTGTGAAATGATCTAATTGCAGAATAGGTAAAAAGAAATGAAAGAAGATCGATTACAATGAAAATGCATAACTAAGAATGGAAGAAAACGAAAATGATTTGTGAAGAAATAAATTAAAAACGAATAGACATAATCAAACAGTTACCCATCTTCTTCAGTTTATTCCATGGAAGCGGAACAGGACAAATATCAGCATAAAACAATAACAGAAATAAAAACAGAAACGAAAACATCTGCATCGACCTAAAACGTTCAAAGCGAACCTGAGAAAGGGAAATAAGCAGTGAATTTTAATTAACTCTCATCATTAAAAATTTTGTATGTTTGCTTTTAAATAAATGGTTAATGGCGGTTATTAAAATCATTGTATACCTGTGATTTTAATAACCGCCATTAACCTTTTATTTAAAAACAAACATGCAAAATTTTTAATGATGAGAGTTAATTAAATAAGCTTTCCTAAATCTTAATAATCTAATATAAAATTGAGTGAAATCTTATTCACTTTAAGGGCATTAAGCAAAGATCGCACAAAATATAATAGTAGGTATATTCACGAGATTTTCTGTTCATATTTAAAATCTGTTTTAGCTAAACACGATCACAGCTATAATTTCATATAAACCAATTTAATCGATTGATAAGCATTCCACATTTATTGCTCATTGCTGAGCAGAAAATTATTATAAAGGTAGTGATAAGTAACAACAACTCTTCCTTTCTCCATTTTCACCAAGTAATTTTTCCGAAGAGGTAAGAGTTCAGAGACTGTATACAGACAATTTGAGATACGACAAAATTACCACGTCCAGACATCACGTTTTCACGATAATAAGAAGTATAAGTAAAATAATGATTGTCACAGACAAAACCAGTATGCAGTACATTTTTTTATCACTTCGTTGATACCTTTCAGCACGCTGCACACTTGATAAAGCCGAGTTGATTTTCAGCGCTGCCTGTTCCACGTTATAATCAATTCGATCCAAGACCGTACCCTGAAATTAAAAACAAAAAATACCAGAACTTTTAAACATTTAAACTTGCATAACCATTATGACCAACTCCAAAAGTTCAACAGCACATTAAAAAGTTTCAAAACAAGATTTCTCAACCATTCAACTACCCGAAATTCTGACTAGCAATCTTTTTAAGAAATTAATATTTTATCAACATAGGAATAGAG